GAAGACCTAGGAATCTCCAACACTCTATAACCAGATTTACGTTCCTAAACCCTACTCTTTATTGCTTTTACTTTGCCATGATTGTCATGTTTGTTAGTTGTGTTATTTGTTTGTTTGTTTGTGAGTCTATGCCAGAGCAAAATAGCCTTACCCTTTGCATATACATTGTAGGTTTAACCCTTTGAGGCTTAGTTAGCCTATTTTCTTTGTTAGCCACACTATCCTTACCTAGCCTAGAATAGGACTATCCATACCCTTGTTCTTAAAGTATAGTAAAGGAAGAAAAAAGAAGTGTGGGGGAAGGTGTTTTTTGTGGGAATCTAGGAGAATGTATGATTTGTGTGCCAAAGAAAGAAAGAGGCACGAAATAAAATAAAATAAAAAAATGTGAAAAAGAAAGAAAAAAGAAGAAAAAGTTGAAAAAGAAAGAATAAGAGTTGAAAACAAGTGAGAATGAACTCACAAGTATTGGAGGTTGAAGAAAGGGTCCAAAAGTTTGAATCTGACCCTAAGTGTTGTGTGAATCTACCATGGGCGTTTAAAGTTGATTTCTGCATTCAAAAGTGAATTCTAAGTGTTTATTTCATTACTTTGCTTACTATTGCTTTAAGAACTTTTGTTTATCCTTACCTTTATTTATTAGCTAATACCTTAGCCCCGTTACAACCCTTTGACTTCGATCTTGATTGTTATGTGTTTCAATATGTGGAGTTTAAAATTGGTTTGAGCATATGGTATCCCTGGTTCTCACGTCTAAGTAGTGGCATTCCATTTATGAGATCATATACATATTAATAATTCCAGAAATTGCCCTCTTTGATTATAAGTTATGTGAGTGCTAGTATACATGTTTACATCAATCTTCTCACATATACCTAGTGTAGGGAGTGTAGTCAGAAAATCTGTGTGAAAATAGAGAGTATATCTGGTGAGCAATTGAGGGATTCTCTAAGGCATGTTACTACATTCAAAATCATGTTTTAATTGATTAAATGCGAGCTAGTGAGTGGTAACTATGATTAAGTTTGTGCTTGAGGGTAGGGATGACTAAAATCTATGTGAGTGGTGATCTTTAATATGTCATGTTGCATTGGAAATCCTTGAGGCAATGATGTGATAAATAATAGCACTCAAATTAAACCCTCTTATTGACAATTGTAGTAAAGATGTAAGTAGGGATCGTTCTAGGCTGGGGATTAGGAGGGATTGCTAATCTAATAAAAACTGACTCAAAGATACAAAACTAGGCTTAAAAACACTTAAATAAACTCAAAGACTCGTAACTACACTTATATGACTCAAAACAAATTAAAAAGACTCAAAACAACACAAAACAATCAAATAGACTCAAACTAGACTCTAGAACTTACTTTGGACAAAAGTTGAATTGATTTTGATTGGACCCCTTCCTTAACAACCAATACTTGTGAGTTCATTCTCACTTATTTCTCAACTCTTTTTCGTTCTTTTCAAAACTCTTCTCTTTTCTTTTTCTTTTTCCACAAATTTTTTTTTCTTTATTATTTTTTTAACAAACACACAAACTTTGAAAATCCTTCCCCCACACTTGTTTTTCTGCAATATGTTGATCAAAAGGAATTCCTTTTAAGTCATGCTTCACTATGCTTTAAGAACAAGGGTATGGATAATCCTAATCTAGGATAGGTGAGGATAATGTGGTTAACAAAGAAAATAGGCTTGATAAGGCTCAAAAGGGTTAATCCTCCAATCCATATGCAAACGGGTTAAGGCTTTTTGGCTTTCGTTTAACTAACAACTTCATCTTATTGTATGTTATGCAATCAATATCATGCTTTGAATGAAATGGGCATGAGTTCTAGTATTTGGAACAATCATGATGAAATGCATTCTAAGTAGCAACCAAGCAAAGAATAATGAGATCATGCAACGACTTTAGAAAACAAGAAATCACATATTTATAACTCTCCAAAGAACGTGATAGGAGCTTATTTAGGCGACTTAGCTAGCTTATTCTTGTGCATTTGTGCTATTATTTCTCAGTTAATGTCGTATTTCAACTCATTTTCGTGTGTTTGTAGGTCCAAAGGGTTAAAGTACCAAGAAAGTGCATTTTGGTGCATTTTGGTGCATTTTGGAGCAGTTTTGGGCACTATGTGGATAGCTTGTATATGGGCTAACATGGATGGACGAATTTGGAGTTCAAGAGGCTAGAAATATGATGAGAAGAGGAAGGAACTAAGCTCAAGACAAAGTGGATAAGGAAGTAGCTCAAAAGAGGAAACCTTATCCAAAACCTTATCCAAAACATTATCCAAAACCTTATCTCATCTTATCCTATCTTGACCTTATCATGTCTTAATCCTAGTTGCAAGGGGACCTAAATAGATATTTCTAGAAGCCCCAAATCAGCCACAAAGCTCATTCTTTCTAGAAACCCTACAAAGGTGGCGCCTAATCCCTTCTAGAAGGCATTGCCTTGCCTTGTAAGCCATTCCATCCTTCCCTCCATGTGTGCCGCACCTCTCTAGGCCCTATCCCTTTTGGATTCTGATTTCTAGGGCCTCATTCCTTATGGATTTGGGTTACACAAATCCTTGTATGAAACTAAGTGGGCCAAACCCCATCCTAGGTGGATTTAATCACCTATTGCCGAACCCTAGGGCCCTAATCCACTAAATCTACTAAGTGTAACCCTAATCTAAGTAAACCTAGGACTATATAAACATAAAATCAGCCACAAATTCGGACCACCCTTTATGCTATTCAGAAACCTTGTTGCCGTAAGCCCTATTCCCCATTCTTCATCCTTCATCCACTCCATACACCTCCATACACAACCTGCCGCACTCCACCACCCTAATCAGCCATTATTCATCCTTCTAAACAAGAACACACCATTCAAAACCCCCAAATCCACCACCCACAACTTGTGCCGCAGCAAGGAAGAGGAAGGGAAGCCTAGCCGTGCATGCAATTCAACCTGGAATTGCTGAAACGTTTAGGTGTAATCTTTCTTGTGTTTTCAATGTTTAATTTCAAGAATCTTTGCTTTGCGAGTATGAGGAACTAATCCCCTTTTTGGCTAGGGGGAATTTCGAAACCATGGCTATATTTGCATTATGATTTGATTACTTTCAGTTGTGATTTCATGAATGGTGAATTCAATTTACTTATCTATTTGAATTAAGACTTGTTTATCTATATATATAAAGGGAGAAGGCCAGTTTGTTGAAGCATTTAGAAATACCAAAAAAGTCCCTTTATTTCCTTCACAATCAAAGTCCAAAAAATCCCAAAATCGAGGACAAAAACGTAAAAAAGAATTTAACTTATCAGAAACGGTATTGGAAACAAAACATGATAATTAAAATAAAAAAAGCATGATAATTATCCTCTAAAAGTTAGTAGTTATGGAGAGGAGAGAGAGATAAATAATAAAAAGGCAACAAAAAAATATTAAAAATAAAACAAATTAAAATAAATAGAAAAAAAAATAGATAATCCAAACTAAAATGGCAAAATCGTTCGGAAGAGAAGAGGATGAATGTGGCGTCATTTTTGAAACTGCTATGAGCATTTATCGTGTGGTTTTTTAAATAGATATCTATGGGAAAGCGCCTCAAAAAAATTTTGACTAGCCGGGTTTCTTTTTTAGTTATTCTTCTCTTTTATTCACCTTAATTTCTTGATGCATGATTTTTAACAAATATTTCTTAGAATGTTTATGCTTCCATTTTGATTAGTACGGTTCTTGCTATATTTTAGATTATTAAACAAACAAACAACAAATAAAAGTAAAGGGACTTGATGGGTAACTCCTCCATTTGAGGATGAGATATTAATATCTCACAAAATTATATTAAACAAAAAGAAACAAATAAAAGTAGGGGACGTGATGAATAACTCTTCCATTTTAGGATGAGATATTAAAGTCAGAGATAATTGTACTGAACATCATTTTAGGAGAGAAATATTAAAAAATTAAGTAAAAAAAAAAAAAAAGCAACATAGTGAATAAGTGCTCTCCATTTTAGGAGAGAGAGATATTAAACAGAAAAATTAAAATTTGTTATATTGGAAAAAAAAAGGAAACGAAAAAACAAATAAAACAACAGGAATGTTGTGAATAACTTCTCCTCCATTTTAGAAGGAAATATTAATATCTAACAAAATTATATTAAACAAAAACAATGTAACTGCTCTCCATTTTAGGAGACAAATATTAAACATAAAATTAAAATTTGTTTTATTGGAAAAAAAAAAAGGAAGAAAAAGTTTAAAAAAAATAAATGGACAGGAACGTATCTCCTCCATTTTAGGAGGAGATATTAATATCTAACAAAATTATATTAAAAATAATAATAATAATGTGGGAGAAAAGGGATAGAGGTTATCGTTAGTTTAAAAAAAAACGGTGAACTTCTCCCACTACCAAGCAGTAATTTCTTAGTTCCCACGTACATTCCCATTTGTTCCATTCCGGCTACAATATTATTATATGTACTCCCCATCTCGTTTGATTATGTGGCCAAATCTTATACTCCCCTTTTTTTTTTGCTCCGCCTTCACTTCTCTAAGTTGTTCTTTTTCTTTGATCTTTTTTATTTTGTGTTTGTAAATGATATGAGCTCAATCCCCATCTCCGTCAATTTTTAGCATGCATGCTGTCATTAATTGGATACTAGAAGCATGGTGATGGTAGCACAGTCGTACGAGATTGGTGGGTTTTCACTTCCTTTCCCTGCATGGTTGTACTCATTTTACACATTTCCATGTAAGCATAATATGTAATTGTATGATTCCCAGATTTAGCTTCAGTTGGGTTTTTTAATTTCTTCCTTTGAAATCTTCATTGTGCGTTTTTAAATTTTGGTCAGATTGTGAATTTCAATTTTGATTATCTTAATGTGCTATACGTGTGCTATGGTAATTTTAAAAATTATTTGTTTTTATTCTTAGGATATTTACAAGAATACCCACAAAAAATGAAGAAGGAACCTATTGATAAGATCTCAAATAGACGTGTCTGTATTTTTACACCTGGTTGGGAGATATCTGTCGGAGTAAAAACTACTGATCTAAGCCAACTGATTCTCAAAGAGTGGAAAAAGAAGAAGCATGAGCAGTATGTATCCTAAATTATATACAAATTTGTTACAAGAAATCTAACATTATATATACCTTCAATATATAGGTGGCGCATGAAAAAGGCTGTGGAAGAATTAAAACCTTCAACAACTCCTTAGATCATACGTATTTGGAATAAAGTCCAACAAATAAGGTACAACACCATTTCTTACCTATTTATTTTTAATGGCATTCTCTATATCATTCTACAAATTAATTATCTCAAATTATAAAATAAAATAAAACAATTTATGGGTGCAGAAAAAAGATTAACAGTGGCCAAACAACTTTTCTAAATACGGTAAGTCTTCTCTTATTTTCATACAAAAGTATACTATAAATTCAAATTGCATTCAATTTTCAAATATAAATAAAATTGCATTTTTTGTCAGTTTTACAAGCATCACACCCGTCTCAAAGTACAAAGGTTGAAGTACAAGATTAAGGTAATATTTCTTATTATTTAATTTTGTAAATATTGTTACAATTTGTTACCTCAAACTTGACAAATATATTTATCTTTCAGTATTCTACAAGTAACTGGAGTAAAAGTATTGCCATGAGAAAATTGTCAAACTTAAAGGTATTTAGGTTAAGTTGCTTACAATCTTTATAGTTGGGATTGTGCATTATAGTTAGACTTCTTATTTTATCATCATTGCTTGCAGATTAACCATGAAAATCTAAAGCATCAAGTGCAAGCAAATGGGTGGCAAGCATGGCTTTGATTTCACACGTAGGCGCTATGTTTACATATGTACATGTTGTCCATATTTTGCTTTGCTTAATATATTAGGAGTTCATCCCTAGCTAGCCTATAACTTTGATTGAAAACTTATGAATCTGAAACATTTTGATTTAAGGACATTAAGTGTTGTCAATATGTATTTAGAAATCAAATTACATGTCATATTTTCAAATTTTTTTATTTATAAATAGTATATGTTTCCCATTTTATCTTTGTTGTTGTTTTAAAGAAAAAATAGTAAAAAATGTATGAGAGATTACTCACATATGTGCAAATTGGATGGAATATATGCTCCTAAATTATTCAACAAATGTGGCAATATGACAATATGGCATGCGATAACACCATTATCACTTTGGAATGATGGGATGATTGTACGGTAACACCATTATCTCATCAACCTTTCTTCAACTCAAGCAATTGGAACTACGTAGCCTGGCCCATGCTCTAATGTTGAACATCTCAGTCCCAACCCAAAATGGCACACCCATAATTATGTACTCACTCCTCTAACTGCATCAACTATCCCATTCACACAACCATTGAACAAAAGATCTGCCAACCTGCTCGAATGACGCCAAATATTGCCCATAATACCTTTTTGTCCACCATAATAAAAAAATGTTGTTGTGCACCCTTTTAATACAGCCACTAATCCTCATGTTACAAAATATATTGATCATTTCATATTTTCTATACAACATTAAATAATTAAGCATATTTTTTTATTTTTTATATGAGAGTTTAAGGAACCTAACTCTTGATCTTCTGTACAATATATAAGGGTAAAATGGTACTGATGGAGATAACAAAATTCTAACTAGACTGAGTAACTTAATTACCAAAGTCATAATAATGATCAAGCATAACTCATTTCGTGAAATCAAATTGTCACATCCCGGCCCGGGCGGGACGACTTCCCGGGCCCGCTCCACCACCGTAGCACGATATTGTCCGCTTTGGGCCCCGACCACGCCCTCACGGTTTTGTTTTTGGGAACTCACACGAGAACTTCCCGATGGGTCACCCATCCTGGGAGTGCTCTCGTGCGCTACTCGCTTAACTTCGGAGTTCCTACGGAACTCGAAGCCAGTGAGCTCCCAAAAGGCCTCGTGCTAGGTAGGGATGGGATATACATATAAGGATCACTCCCCTGGGTGATGTGGGATGTCACAATCCACCCCCCTTAGGGGTCCGACGTCCTCGTCGGCACACCACGGCCAGGGTTAGGCTCTGATACCAAATTGTCACATCCCGGCCCGGGCGGGACGACTTCCCGGGCCCGCTCCACCACCGTAGCACGATATTGTCCGCTTTGGGCCCCGACCACGCCCTCACGGTTTTGTTTTTGGGAACTCACACGAGAACTTCCCGATGGGTCACCCATCCTGGGAGTGCTCTCGTGAGTTCCCAAAAACAAAACCGTGAGGGAATGGTAAGCCCAAAGCGGACAATATCGTGCTACGGTGGTGGAAAGTGTGGAAATAGGAAAATATCATTATGGATTTGTGTACAAGCTTCCTCGTACACAGAATGGTTATGATGGCGAAGTATCATGGAATTCCAGTAAGTATTGTTTCGGATCGAGATTCTAGATTCACTTCTAAGCTCTGGACAGCTTTTCAGGAAGCACTTGGTACGTGATTGCTTTATTGTACGGCGTATCGGAATGACCCTGTTATGAAGCTTTATATGGAAAATCGTGTCGTACACCTTTATGTTGGTCAGAGGTCGGTGTTCTGACAGAATGGACCAAATGAGGACTCACCTTCGGGTGGTTCATCTTAGAAGTTGTATATTTTAAAGCTTCCGAACTGTGTAAATGGTTACGTCACTCTCACGTGACGGCCAGCATGCCCTCCTTCGGGATGGGGTGTGTCACAAATTCTATCAGCCAAACAAAAAAAAAAAGACACCATAATAATTAGCAAGCAAAAAAAAAAAAGAAAAAAAAAAGGTGGATTGGTTAGTGTACAATTCATAAATTTCATTTTTGGGTACAATGGGTAGGTGCAAAAAGACTAAGTTAGATGATTGAACATAATAAAAAATTGAAAATAATAAGAAATTGTTGTGATGGACACAAACACATTTTATAAAATAATCACTTAAGAAATATAAGAATATCTAAAACAACACATCTTTGGGGCGCGTAGCGCCCGTGATGCAAAAATGCCTCTCGCACGCACGTTAGTGCGTGCAGAGAGGCTAGTGTATATGAATTGAGAGTGCACACTTAATTTGCATGCAGAAATCTGATGCTAGGGTATAAGGAAACTTCACCTAATCGTTGGGAACTTATATTCATGAGTAGTTAAGGTTGTTAGTCGCAATCATGTTAAGTAAATTCTTGGCATAAGTATCATGCGCTTTCATAGTTACGAATGCCTCGTCAACACTTATGATTTCCATAGAACCTAATGATCTTTGATTGTTTTTCTATTATGCGCTTTCATATAGAGAACTTTTGAGGAATAATTTGATTGCAATGCACTAATTCCATTCAATTCAATGACCTAAGGGAAATCTGAGAGTTAATTTAAGCGTACCTAATTAACTTGGGGTGATGAGGTTCATAATTCATTGAATAAGCAACTGGAGATTGTTTTGTATGCAAGTATGCCATGTGTGGAGAAAGACCTCTTAGCTAAACCATCATCAACTTAATTCCATCAAATTCGTCCACATCTGCCTAGTTTAAAATCTTGTTTTGTTTATTTTATTTTCGTCCAAAACCAAATCCCCATTTATTCTAGAGTGTCTAAATAGTTAGAATATGTTTTAGATTGTGTTTTCAAGTGTTTCGAGTCAAGTTAGAACCAAATTTCATCCAATTTTGTGTTTAGAGTCAAATCTGCCCAGTTTGTGTGTTTTTAGGCAGTTTTGAGTGTTTTCAGCTCATTGTGAGTCTTGTGAACTTGTTTTGCGTCTTTTGCGTTAAGTGTTTAGAAGCTTTGTTTTATTTATTTGATTCAGTTTAAAGTGTTTAGCAATCCCTCCTAATCCCCGGTTTAAGAACGATCCCTACTTATTTATATGCTACAATTGTCAGAAGAACGTTAATTTGTGTGTTAAGTTAATTTTCGCATCAAATTTTGGCGCCGTTGCCGGGGATTAGCAACTTTGCTAATCCCTTGTTATTTCTTTTTGTTTATTTTCATGTGTTTTTGGTTCTAGTTTCTGACCTTGTTTTGTTTTCTTGTTTTTAGGCACTAGTTTATGACTCGGAGTTCTTAACCGGTTCATGCGCATATCTTAGACTTTGACGACGATTTTGAGCGAACTTTGAGAAGGAAGAAGAATCAACAAGAGCCCCAACCACCTCAACCTGCACTAGATCTTGAAGAAGACGAAATACAAGTGGGAGAGGAGGCCACGACTCAGATTTTTGAGGAAGAACAAGCTATGGCAGCCGACAATCGAACAATTGATAGGAGCATATTTATGCGACTTAATTGGCTTGTTCTCGTGCATTTACGTTGTGTTTCTTTAGTTATTTTAGTCCTTTATGCCATTTTCCTGTGTTTCTAGGTTCATATGGCTAAGGAAGCAAAAAGGTGCATTTTGGAGCATTTTGGAGCAAAATTGGGCTTAGAATGGATAGCTTATGCTTGGAGCCAAAGTGTTGGACGAAATTGAAGCCTTGTATGCACTTTAGGACATAAAACAAAGGGCCTAGCCCAATCAAACAATCCTTTCAGCCATGCAAAACCTCTAGCCCAATCAAACAATCCATCAAAGCCATGCAAAACCACCATTCACACACACTTCACACAAACAACATCCTAGCCATGCATCCCCTTGCATTTCCAGCATTCCACACCATCATTGCAACCACATTCTCCCTCTTTAATCCACATGCATTCATCATCATTCATCCTAGCTGCCACTCACATGCCTTCACATTCATTTCCAACAACAATCACTTCAAAGCCATGCTTTCACATGCATTTCCAGCACCAAAACACCCTTGCCGTGGCCTCCCCTTGCCTTTCCAGCTTTCCCCTTTGCATTTCTAGCTTCACTCTTCATGATGGCAGCCACATTCTCTCCTAGCTGTCATATGCCCTCTTTTAATCATTCATCCACCTATAAATAAGCATCCATTGCAGCCACAAAACAGGATTCAATGGTCATTCATTCATTTGACACCAAAACAACATCAAAAACTGCCCTTTGGTCGTGAGTTTCCCTACCAATCCAAACACCATCACACTTCCCCTTGCCGTGCATCCCCTTCCAATCCAACCACTCCCCACTCCATTCCACACTTCCATCCCTCCAAAACACTATCATTAGACCTTGTGCTACAACAAAGAGGAGGAGAAGAGTGCCTAAACGTTCATACAATTCAAGTTTGCGTTGTTGGAATGTTTAGGTGTTTCTTTTCCTCGATTTCAATGGTTAAATTTACTTATCTTTGTCTTGTACGTATGAGGAACTAAACCCCCCTTGGCTAGGGGGGATTCAAAATACATGTTTATGCTTGCGATATGATTTGATTACTTCTAATTACGTTTCATAAGTTGTGAATTCAATTTACTTATCTATGTGAATCACATTGATTTGTGTGTGTTGGTTGAGAGTGCACGCTTAATTATCATGCATAAATTGGATGCTAGGATATAAGGAAATTTCACCTAATCGTTATGGAATTATATTCACAAGTAGTAAAGGTTGATGATCTCAATCGCGTTAAGTAAATTCTTGGCATAAGTTTCATGCAATCATAGTAACAAGTGCTTCGTCAATGCTTATGGTTTTCATAGAACTTAATGATTCTTGCTTGTATCTCTATTATGCAATCATGTAAGGGACTTATGGGGAATGTTTTGGGTTGTCGTATGCAATCATCCAATTCAATAACGTTAGGAAAATCTGAGGATTAATTAGTGCAATTCACGGTTAATCTGGGGCGTTGAGAATTCATGGTTTATTGAAAAGCATTTAGAAATCGTTTTGTGTGCAAGTATAACATGTGTGGAGATGAACCCCTTAGCTAGCTTCCCATCCATTCAATTCCATCAAATTCGTATTTACAATTTGTTTTCTTTACAATCTGTCCATTTTAGTTTAATTTCGTCAAAACCTCAATCCCCCCATATTTTGTTTAGTCTTA